CCCACGCACAAATCGCAACCATGGCCGCCCCCGACAGCAAGGTCACTCCCAACGAGTTCTTTCAGAACATCGGCCAGCAAGTCGACAACAGCAGCGAGGAGGAGCACAAGCTGGTCGAGGAGATTGAGTCTCTCTGCATGAACTGCCACGAAAATGTGAGCAACCCCTCTGCGGCCTCCCCCTCCGCTTGCTTCCGACAATGAAAGGTAGTGACTGACACATTCTCCCAGGGCGTCACCCGCATGCTCCTCACATCGATCCCCTACTTCCGCGAAGTCATCATCATGTCCTTTGCCTGCGAACACTGCGGCCTCCAGAACAACGAGGTCCAGCCTGCCGGCACGGTCCAGCCCAAGGGCACATACTACGAGCTGCGCCTGACCGACATGGCCGATTTTGCCCGCCAGGTCGTCAAGTCGGACACGGCCACCGTCAAGTTCACCGAGCTCGACCTCGAGGTCCCGTCCGGCAAGGGACAACTGACCAACGTCGAAGGCCTGCTGTCGACCGTCATTGACGATCTCGAGTTTGGCCAGGAAGCCCGCAAGCAGCAGGCACCAGACGTCGCCGAAAAGGTGGGCGAGGTCATCGCAAAGGGCCGCGCTATGCTCGCCGGCTCCTCCTTCCCCTTCCGTGTGACCGTCGACGACCCCGCTGGCAACTCCTTCATCACCCCCGACCTCAAGGATGGCGTCGGCAAGTGGGAGAAGCACGAGTTCCTCCGAACGGCCGAGCAGAACGAGGCCCTCGGCCTCTCCGGCGAGAGCACCAACAATGCCAACGCCGACGCCACCATGCTCGACCCCAACCCCGCGCTCGATGCCGACGGCAACATCATCCCCAACGAGGTCTACAGCTTCCCCGCCAGCTGCCCTGGCTGCATGCAGCCCTGCACGACGCACATGAAGATGGTGGACATTCCTCACTTCAAGCAGGTTGTCCTCATGTCCACCGTATGCGATGCCTGCGGCTACCGCTCCAACGACGTCAAGACGGGCGGCGAGATTCCCGAACAGGGTGAGAAGATTACCATTGCCGTCCGCGACACGACGGATCTGGCGCGCGACATTCTCAAGTCGGAGAGCTGCGCCCTCGAGTGCCCCGAGCTCGGCCTTTCGGTCAACCCCGGCACGCTCGGCGGCCGCTTCACGACCATCGAGGGCCTCCTGACGCAGGTTCGCAACGATCTCCACAACCAGATCTTCCAGGCCAACGGCAACAGCGGCGGCGGCGACTCGGCCGTGCCGGACGAGAAGGAAAAGTGGACGGCCTTTTTCGACGGCCTCGACGTCGCCATCCGCGGCGAGAAGCCCTTCACCGTCGTCCTGTCCGACCCGCTGGCGAGCAGCTACGTGCAGTCGCTCGTCGACCCGCCGGCGACCGACCCCCAGATCACGCGCGAGATGTACGAGCGCACCGAGGAGGAGATGGAAGACCTCGGCCTCAACGACATGAAGGTAGAGAACTACGAGGAGAAGGCCGCCGAGATCGAGGCCGGCGACAAGCCCGAGGAGAAGACGGCCGCGCAGCTGCAGCACGAGCAGAAGAACGGCGAGCTCATGGACCAGCTGATCGACGCCAACCGGAGGTAGCGTGTGGCGCAGCACGTGAATGACGACTGATGACTGGTACGGTCACAGGAGAATTGTGAAAGTGAAAAAATCGGGCAATGATATATACCTTATAAACGAGTTGGTGTCAGCGAATGATGAGTGATGTTTTGACTAGTAGAGGGGTCTTTATTTTTTTTGTCTCTCGAAAGGGCCTCA